CTCCCTGACCGGGCCGGTACTGATCCGTGAGGTGACTCCCGAAGTTGTAGACGAGGTCCAGGTGCCTCCTCTCCTGGAGCCTGTTCCCGACCTCCCTGAAGGCCTCCTGGGCCATGTTCTCCATGTGCCTGCGGGCCAAGCCCAGCCCGTGGCGCTCGCTGGCCCCGCGGATCTCCCGCAGGATGTCGGAGTAGTCGGGGAAGGCGTCGGGGCGGTTGATGAAGCGCTCGATGCGCCGGTTCACCTCCGGGTACCGCGTCCCCCGGAAGCGGATCCGCTGCTCCAGGACCCTCCCGGTGAGGGAGCTGCACTCCTTGAGCTGGCAGAGGCGGCGGAAGATGCGCATCATGCGCCGCTTGAGCCGGTTCTCCTGCAGGTAGGGCGAGTCGGCGCTGTCCAGCTCCTGGAAGTCCAGCTCCCGCTCCTGCAGCCGCCGGATCTCGCCGGCGTAGACGCGCAGCAGGTTCTCCAGGTAGCGGATCTGCCGCCGGGAGCCGCCGGAGCGGCGGGGGGAGGGGTCGGGGCGGCGGGAGGAGCTGTCGGGATGGTGGGATGAGGCGTCGGGATGTTGGGAAGGGCCGTCGAGACGCTGGGAGGAACCATCGGGACACTGGGAGGAGCCCTCGGGACGTTGGGAAGAGCCATCAAGGCAACGGGAAGAACCATCGGGATGTTGGGATGAACCATCAGGATATTGGGATGAACCATCAGGATATTGGGATGAACCATCGGGATGTCGGGATGAACCATCAGGACGTTGGGATGAACCATCAGGATACTGGAATGAGCCATCGGGACGTTGGGATGAGCCATCAGGATACTGGGATGAGTCATCAGGATACTGGGATGAATCACTGGGACGTTGGGATGAGCCATCGGAGCGATGGGAAGAGCTGTCGGGATCGCCGGGCCGGTGGGTTGGAATGCCAGGATCCTGGCAGGAAGTGCTGCTGCTGCTGCTGCTGTTGGGATGCCGGGAGGAAGCGCCGTCGGGATACCGGGAAGCGCCGTCGGGATAGCGGGAAGTGCCGTTGGGCTGCTGGGCCGTCAGGCCATCGGGATACTGGGATGAGCCGCCGGGACACTGGGATGAGCCGCCGGGACACTGGGACGAGCTGGTGGGATACTGGGAGGCGTCGCCGCCGGAATTCCGTGCGGGAACGCCGCCGCCGCCGCCGCCGGGGAGCGGGAGCAGCGGGAGGCGTCGCCGGAGCGCGCGGGCCTTGAGGACGGTGCAGAGCTCGTTGATGTAGACGAAGGTTTTGCTGCGGCGGCTCCGGAGGCGCCGCAGGAGCCGCCCCAGGATGTTGCGGAACTCGGCGGAGCCGCGGAATTCCGGCTGCGCCCGCGCGTGGCGGGAGCGCAGGAACGGGAGAACCTCCGGGTGATCCCGCGTGGCCGCGGCGCAGACAGACAGGAACTGGGACGGGGGGGAGGGAGGGAGAGAGGGGAGGTACAGGGGGGGGGCACCTGGGGATACCTGGGGATACCTGGATACACCTGGATACACCTGGGGATACCTGGGATACACCTGGAGATACCTGGGGACACCTGGATACACCTGGGGATACTGGGGATATACCTGGAGATAGCTGGGAATACCGGGGATATACCTGGGGATACCTGGAGATAGCTGGGATACACCTGGAGATAGCTGGGGATACACCTGGGGATACCTGGAGATACCTGGGGATAGTTGGGATAC